AATTATTCTTTTTCTCCAATAGCACCCAATCCCCATAGGAGACAACCTATCTGTCTCCCCTCCCCTACAAGCTTTAATTTTCTTATGATAACCTATTTATTTTACAAATTCATCATGGAATAATTTGAGTACAAGAAACTATCCATAAAGTCTACAGTTTGATGAGTTTTTACGTATGTAGGTACCCATGAAACCGATCATAATCAAGAGGATGAATGTATTTATCACCCCTGATGCCTTCTTGTACTCTGCTACTCCCAAACTTGCACCTGCTTTCCATTACCAAAGATAAATGCGCATTTGTTAGAATTTCGTACATATGGAATCATACAGCTCCTATATTCTGACATATTTTTTGTGTCAGGTTTCTTTCACTCATAATATTATTTGGAAGTATATCTGTGATGTTGTATATATCATTTATTTTCTTGCTTAGCATTTTTCCTCACAGAGACACACAACAATTTGTTATCCATTCCTCTGTTGTTGGGAATTTAGGGATTGCCAGTTTTGGACTATAAGCATTCATGTTCAAGTGTCTACATGAATTGTCTTCATTTCTCTTGGTAAACCCTAGATGTGGAACATCTGGATCCTGTGGTGTGTTTATGTGAGCCTTGTAAGAGCCTGCCAGTCTTTAGCTTCTACCATTGTACTAAAATCGTTGTTTATTTGTTACAGTTTTGGCGAGGTGGGAAGCTTTTTGGTTTTTGTCCGTACTAGGGAATGAATCAAGAGATTTATGCATGTCAGACAAGCATTCTACCATTGAACTACATCTCCAGCCCTTAAACCTGTTTTTTTCAAATCACTAATTACTTCCATGTTGCTAAGTCAGCTTTCATTACTTACCGTACCTGTAAACTTGGACACAATTGGTTTCTTCCTCCTACAAACATTTGGTTATCTGCTCTCTCTACTTTTATTAGGGGAATAGCAGGTTGAGACAGGATTTTCCTATATAGTTTAGGCTCCTGTTGAACTCACCATGTAGCCTAGGCTGGCTTTAAACTAGAGGTGATCCTCCTGCCTCAGCCTCCTGAGTGCTGGGATTATAGCTGTTCCCCACCAGGCTCAGCACCTTTAATTTTTCCTTGGTCCCCAACATTGTTTTTACATGTAGTGACCAGAGAGATCCTTAAAGGCACCAGATAATTTCTCTATTTCCCCCTGTCACTCATAGTAAAAGCTAGAGTTCTTTAGGGGCCTACAAGGCTGTTATGGATTTCATGCCCCCTGCTGCCCCATTTATGTGTTGAAATCCTCACTACCAATGGACAGTATAGGAGTTGGGGCCTTCAAGAAGTGAATAGATCTATGAGAGTACAACAGTCAGGTTAAGAACCCTTCTGATGGGATTAGTGCCCTACTGGAAAAGGCTTGCCGCTTCCTGGGTCTCTGCCACATAAGGGTACAGGATGCTATTGCTGGACATAGTGCATACTCCTGCAGTACCAGGTACTCGGGAGGTTCAAGTAGGAGAACTGCAAGTTAAAAGGCCCTGAACAACCTAGAAATGCTATTTTTAAACTAATATTTTTAAAAGCAAGAGACCTGGGAGCTGTAGCTCTGTGACAGATGTACCAGACTCTGGGTTCAGTCCTCAGTGCCAGGGTGAGGGTGGCTGTCTAATCTTCAAGAAGAGGGCCCACACCAGAACCAGTCACATCTGAGGAAGCTAGGTGTGCCACCCTCAGAAACAGGAGAAAGAAATGTTTGTTGTTTAAGTCACCCAATCTGAGGTAATCTCTTATAGCAGCCCAAACTGAGAAAAAGACCTCCTATGATTCAATTCCAAATTACCTCTCTGGGCTTTTCTCCGATCACCGTCCCCTTGCCCACTTTGCTCTAGGAAGAGCGACCTCCTAGCCTCCTCGAATTCATCAACCTTGAGGCCTGTGCATTTGCTGCTTCACTGAGGAAGCCTTGTTCTCTTGCTTCCTTCCACTGTGTGCTTAATAGGAGCACATCAGAGAGGCCAGCCTGACCTCCCAGCCCTCCTTCTCCCCAGCACACCCTTCCTTGCTTCACTTTTCCCATGGCCCATCAGTCTGTAGATCATATCTTCAGTAGCTTGTCTTTTTCTTAAAATGGTCTCTCCTTCTACACTAGAAGAGATGAAGACTTTCTGTTTTGTTCACCGCTTTGTCCTCAACATTTGGGGTAATACAGGGCACATGGTAGGCAAAAAGCAGCCAGTATTTGTGAAACGAACGAGTGAATGTGTAACCTCTGTACTATTTTCCATATCCTCAACTGTGTGATAAAAGCAAAACCCTAAAATATATACACAGACAAAACTCAACTCAAAATCATTAAGTAAATAACATGTCAATTCTAGCATATCATTAGAGACTGTCAAAAATACCTAGCTTTTGTTTTATTGGTACTGGGACTCAAATGGTGGGCCTCATGATTGGCAGGAAAATGCTGCACCGCTGAGCTACATCCCCAGCCCTTAGAACTACTCAGAAAATCTAAGCATGTTATCAGCACCTTCCTATGTAAAATAGTTTTTAGATATCGTTAGACTATCCACCAGAGGGAGCCCGTGCTTTTCTTTTTAACAAAAATCACACCAGTTGACAAAATGACCACAAGCAAACAGGAAACAGACACTAACCAAGTTTTCATCCTTTCCAGAGTTAATTTAATGTACGTTGTTTTTCCCCACTTACTTCCATACTTATTGTGAGTTTTTCCCACAAAACGCACCTCTTTCTTTTAGGCAGTGTGAACGTTTGGAACAGCATGTGAATAAAAGTATCAAAGTCAGATATAGCAGGAGCTGTTATAGTCATCATTTTGATGGTTTTTGTTTGTTTGTTTTGGGAAGTTTTTTGTCTAAAATTCACAACTGTTCTGTTCTACCTCGCGCGCTTATGCCATTGAGCTAAATCCCCCACTCCCCACTCCTTTTTGCTGTGGCTTTTTTTTTTTCTTGTTTGTTTGTTTTGATGCCCAGGGATTGAACTGGTGACTTCACATTTGCCAAGCAGGCGCTTACTCCGCTGAGCTAACCTCCCAGCCTTGCTGAGTTCTTAAAGACAAAATATTTCTAAAAATTTTTTTGGTTTATTTTGAGAACAGGTCTTGATACATATTCAAGCTGGTTTTGAACCCACTATATAGTCCTGGCTGGCCTTGACCTCAATGACCATCTTCCTGTCTCAGTCTCCAGAGTGATGGGATTACAGGAATGCACCACTGTTCCTAGCATTGTTTTCTTTTTCTTTTGGCACCACTGAATGATTTTGTTTGTATCTTTATTTTTGAAATCTCAAAGGGCAAAAATATTTTGTTTGTTTTCTTTTCTGTACTTTATTTTTTGAACAACAGCTCTATTGATGCATAAGCGAGAAACAATAAACTATACATGTTTAATGTATACAATCTGTTGAGCTTCATTGTATACATAGACCATGAAACCATTGCCACAATCAAGGTAATAGACATATCTATCACCTCCAAAATTTGCCTCGTGCCCTTTGTTGTGTATAGGAACCCTTACACATCTACTCTTTCAACAAACTTAAGTGCCTAATACATTGTCATTCGCTATAGGTGCCAAGCTGTGCAGCAGTTATCTGAGTGATCACATTGTTTTTGGAATCTCTTTTTAATGATTCTGTGACTGGGGAGGATAAACTATCTACTTTATAAATAGTCTGCACATTATGCCAATACTTAACCTTATATAGGTACCATCTTCCTTCCCTTCTGCCTTCCAAACCTTATACAGGTTCCTCCCTGGCTTGTCAAACTAGAACCACAGAGGGAAAGAAACTCCAGAAAATGTTCTCAGTCTAATCAAGGGAACACAGCAAACCCAGCAAAGCTGGGAATGGCTTATGTGAGGCTTGAAAAGGAGGTGGACTCAATGTGCCGAGAAACCGACTGAAGGCAAGGCTGGGGCTGCACAAGCTGGGAACTGGGAGCTCTGCTGTTGTCACCTGGGACCTGGAAGTTCTTGTCGCTTTCATATTAATTCTAAATTGAAGAATTTTAAGCAAGTTGGTGGTATTCTGAATTTCTCTTTACAAGGATCATTCTGGATCTTGCAGGTGATAAGAAAGCAAGAGAAAAGTTGAAAAAAAGAGGCAGCAGGGAAAAGGCAGCTGCTGAGGTAGTTCAAAAGAGATGCTGGGGTAGGCATGGGCTGTGATTGTGAAGACATAGATAACAGGGAGCCATCCGGAGGTGTGGAGCCTCATTTCTCTGAGATGCGAGATACTCTCCATCCAGAGGAAGGCGAAGCAGAGGTGACTGGGCAGGGAAGTCTGATACTTTCTAAGCACTGAGCTCTCTGCTGAGCCTATTCTTTTCTATGATCCTGAAGGAGAAGACTGACGTACAGCTAGGTTGTAGTATACTTCAAGTAAGGCCACACTGCTGCTCAGAAGCCAGAATCATGGCCCTTTTCACAGCATCTCGCTACCCCTCAGGCAAGGCCCTTATAAGAAATCAGGTCCATTAGCTGATATCTGCCCAAACATCGTGCTTGTCTGGCCTCTCATCTGTAGCTCTAATGTACAGACTGATATTCTCTGTCCAACTACAATTCTGTGTCATATTCTCCGTAAAATGTTTTTGTCCCTCAACAAGCCCCTGAAAAGACTTCCTGTCTTTATCTCAACATTGCATCTCATTAGACAAAGGCTAAAAAGTAAATGAATAAAGGACTTGTGAGAATTACTGCTAAGCATGCAATTGAGGAAGGATATGTTCAAGACACACACACACCAAAAACAAAACAAAAAACAGGATTTGTTTTCTGATAAATCTCTATTTATTGATACCACTATCTTTTAGCAAAAAAAAGTCTCAGAGTACAAAGTATATATGGCAATACTGCTTTGAGCTTTAATATTATTTGCTTAGAGTACACATGTGTCTATAAGTGATAAATGTTCATAATGTGGGAATAAATATATTTATCAAAGATATTTGGTAAAAATATGTATTTTTTTGGTTATTATTTATATACTGTCCACTTTTCCTGTGAGATGTAAGATAAGTGGGTCACAGACTCTCCTATTATGGAACTTTTTAAGGTTTTTTTTTTTCCAGAGAATTACATAGAAGGAATTGAAGAATTTCATGGGCAAAGATGTTTGGGTAGGATCATTAGTAGGCAGCCCTCCGAATCATCTGCAGTAACAATATCTGAGAAAGTAAATATAGCTTTCAGTTTCAGTCAAAGAACTCCTTTTGTTCTCAATTCACCAATCTCTCTAAGGAAGTTTTCAAGTTCACATAATCTAACTGGGCACCAACTACCCCTCCACTGAGTTTGCTGTCCCTCCAGCTCTTGGAACTTTATCATTCTCAACAGCTGGTGTGGGAACTGATAATCACAATTCACATTTGCCCCACAATGAGTTTTCTTTTTTTTTTTTTTTCCCCAATGAGTTTTCAAAAGATCTTGGCTTCTGTGTTCTCCCCCCATAGCCCACGCTTCCCTGTAGCACATACTTCTTTCCCTACTTTTTACCTGCCCCAAATTCGTTTTGCAGAGCATGTTTCTCCTCCTGTCTAATAAATGTTAAGCTTTGCTGCCATTTTTTAAAAAAAGAATCTTTGTGACTATCTTATTAGTCATAGAAAGCTTGTTAGGAATAGTACTGAAGGAATTTTTGTAGTGAATGGAGAAAGGCTGGACTGAATAACCTTTACACCACTTTTCTTTATAAGATTGTATGATTTCAGAGGTCTTGAAATTTTTATTTAAAAATTTCTAGACTATCCAAAAGTGTTCTAAAATGTGCTTCTTATTTGTTAGAGAAGCCAAGTTAACTTCCTGTCATAACAATACAAGAATGTTGCTTCATCGTTGATCCCTGTAGTGACTGTGGCCAGAAAATGAGTAAGAGGTTACTAGGGGTGAAACAATACAGAGCAGCCGGGAAGAGAAACTCCGATTGCAATCTCCTCGTATAACTACTAGAGCTGAGTTCTGGTTTTTTAGAGTTGGTGGCAGATTCAAGGAAATAAACTATGGCTGCTACACTCAAGGAACTGAATGTCTGATTAGAAAGAGAAAATAAACACTAATTAGGTAACAAAGTGCTCTTTCATGTTGTGTTAAACATAAGGGGAATGAGAATTTTAAGATGATTTGACTATCTAGAAGGTTTTAAAAATATTTTATTTAGTTATTTGCAGTGCCGGGGATGAAACTCAGAGCACTGTGCCTGTTAGGCAAATGCTCCATCCCAAGCTACACTCAGCACTCCAGAAAGGTTTAAGCACAACTTGAGCTGAGCCTTGAAGACTGTATCCACTGGAACTTAGTGGAGAGAAGACATCCTTGTGGGTTGGTGGGTGGGAAAAGGGGCAATGTCAGGCAAATAAGTCTCACAAATGAGAGAGCATAATTTGTGTAATGGAAGAGAAACAGGCATGGACTTGTGGCAGAAAGGAAAGTACTTGCCTATGTGAAGCACAAGGACACAAGGGGAAATTGTGTGGCCAGTGAGGGCAGGCAAGATGGAGCCACATCACCTCAAAATCCTGAAAGAAGTTTCCCAAGGCCACATGCTGGTGATGTCCAAAGGTGGATCCCTAGGAACAATCAGCGTGATCCCTCAGACACCTCATGTATGAGGTCTGCAGACTCTGACAGCCATTGCAGCTGGGCGAGGTCCAGCTCAGTTCCAAGCTGCTTGGCTTACTAGTATGTGGACAGGTGGGGACTCAATAACAGAGACCTCACAGTACTCTCTGGAGGATGCAGGCTGAGGCCTGGAAGCTGGCAGCTGTTGTGTGGGATGTGTCTGTGTGGCCACTTGTCCAGATGTAGTTATTACTAAGCATGTGATGAAATTCAGTTGGTTAGTGGTAAAAAGCACAAACAGCTATTGCCTCTAACAATTCTTAATTCTGTATTTTAAAATCAACTTTTCAGTTTTGGTTACAATTTCATAATAGTACTTTACATTTTCTAGTCAAATTAACAGGCCCGTGTTACTAAAGGCCATTACTTCTTAGAATTATTTTGATATAATTAAAAACAAATTTTAACACAAGGTACTTGTTGGCAAGGTGGGTTTTTATGTGTTCTTCTCTTGACAAGGAGCTTTGGATCTTTTAACTTTTATGATTTTCTTGTTTTTCTGATATTTTTTCGCTTTCTTTTGCTTTTTCTTTTGGGTGACCTGTGAAGAAAGGAAGGTGAAAGGACAATGTTTCTGAGTCTTACAATTTTTTCTTACTTTCATTGTATTTGAACTGCCCCTGGTTGTGATATTTCTTTATCCTCAAAACTAATTAAAAGTTGCCTTTCTCTCACAAGGATTCCTTTTGATTCTCTATTTTGTTCACATTGAGGAGGAACCAATAGTCTTCTAAATGCTTATTATTAGTAGTATTATTAATAATAATATTATTTTTAAAACAAGGTTTCTCTCTGCAGTCCAGGCTGGCCTCAAGTGAGTACTCCTTCTGCCTTAGCCTCCAAAGAGCTATTATAGGCACGTGCCACCAGGCCTGGCTTAAGTGCTTTGGTGTATTCTGGTTTATTACTGTTCTCACTCCAACTCCACTTACCACCTGCAGGTCCCCACTGAAACCCTCTGCAGTTTGTGCTATAATCATCTACTTTTTTACTCATGCAGAGATTTGAGACTATGAGAGGGTAACTTGCCCAGAGCAAGAGCTATTTAGTCTGTCCAACTCCTGAACTCAAGCTCCTCACCACGTACTACATGATTCTCCTCAAACCCAGATCCTCAGTATCTCAGGCAGGATTCTTCCTAGTGGTCTCAGTCTGCTTTCCCACCTCACTCCCTTTCTCTTTTCATATAAACTCCCTGAACATAGCAAGCTCTCTCATGATTTTCCTCTTGTTCCTGTGCTATTTTCTCCTCCTATTGATTTATATTATCTCTTAGCATCCAAATCAAACATGAGAAGTCCCGCTTAACACCTTTTACCTGCCTTTCTTCTCTAGCAAAGTTAATTACTCCTTCTTATATCATCTTCAAAAGTCACATATGCCTTTATTTGATATTTCTCCCATTGTGTCACAATTGCTATAAATTGTTAAAGAATACCTGCTATAGAAGGGAGGGTTTACATCTTATTACTTTTATATCTTCACTGTCTACCATTCAATTAAATACAATATAAAAGGATGAAAATATATCTTTAATGGAACTACATATATTTTTTGTCTTCCAAAGTTTACTTCTAACAGAAAGAAAATTTTGTTCCCTTGTTCACCAACCTTCTTCTCCCACTGTTTAATCAGTTTCTTTACTTTTGTTGAATCTGGATTTAGACATGTTTGATCCCCATTCCTCTTTGTAGCACTGCCAAAGAAACAGCAATGAGATTTCCTTTTCCCATTATTTATTTAGTTTTTTCACAGAAATAAGCATGAACTTAATTTATAATAAAATGTTTTCCTAGAACACAGTTAACTAAATAATTTCAAGATTTTTCATTAATTTCTCTGTACAGTATGAAAATAAGAGTCACTATTCCATATATCATCTTTGATTTAGCTATCCAAGAGCGTAAAATACCACTTAATCAAGCAATTCTAGTATCTAAAAGGTATTAACTGAGAAAGAATTGAAGACAAGACTGCCACAATAACAGTTTGACAACTGCCAAAAGTTTGAAATAACCTACATTTCTAGCAATGGCGATTGATCATATAAATTATGGCACATTCATCTGCCATTAAATTTGGCCATTAAAATTCTGTTATCAGCACTAGAGGTATACAGTTCAGTGATAGAACATGGCTCACCTGCCTGTCTTCAATCCCCAGCATACAGACATAAGACAACATTAGAAAAAAATGACATTACAGATTTACTAACATAAGAAATGTTCGTAATCATAGTGTTGTTATAAAACTGTATAGTAGCTTCCCTTATTGATGGAGCATACATTCTGAAATCTTGGGTGGTACCAAATACTATATAGGGTGTTTTTCATATACGTACATGATAAGATTTAATTATAATTTAGGCACAAACAATTATAACAATATACTATAATAAAATATACTATACTATAATAAAGTATATATAGTAAATAAATTATACTAATAAATAGTAAATAAAATATACTATACTATAATAAAAACTATTTTTAAATACTTGAATAAAAAACTATTTTAAAAACTATTTTAAATACTTGAATATTTTATATCTAGACTTTTCCATTTTATATTTTAGACCATAGTTGACTTTGTTTAACTGAAATCTAGAAAGTAAATCAGAGATAAACAAGGGTTACATTATGTGATTTATGATTTATGTGTGTATGTATAAAATCTAAAAGTATGTACATACAAAGCAAATGGAGGAACTTTGAAAGACCATATGCCAAGGAATTAATTGTATTTGTCACTGGACAATAGATTAGAAGTGGTTTTTATTTTCATCTGTTCAGTTATCTGCATTAAACATTTTCTAGGAGCGCTTTTTTCTTTTCTTTTTTTCTTTTTTTGAGATAGGGTCTGGCTATGTAGCCCAGGCTGATCTTGAACTCAAAACAGTCATCCTGCCTCAACCTCCCAAGTGCTGGGATGACAGGTATGCAACACCACACCCAGCTAGAACCCCATTGTTTTTTTAAATTTTTTTTTTGTCTTTTTTTGTTTTTATCGGTACCAGGGATCAAAATCACGGCTGCCTGCTTGCAAGGCAGGCGCTTATGCCGCTGAGCTAAATGCCCAGCCCCCAGGAGCCCATTTTCAAGATTACTTGAGTTTATGTTTTCCTGGATTACAACTCTAACTAGCTTTAGATAAACGTCAATTTTTTTTCTTTGATGTTCAGATGTTTTCTTTGATGAGCATAATATTATTGAAGGAATAGGAACCATGCTTGGTTCCTAATCTCTACCAGAAATTTCACTTTTAGGAATAGAAAAGAAAGGAGCAAGATCAGGTTTATTGAGGGGCTAATCATATAGAATTTAAGTGTCTGCATGGGTAAGTGTCCAGAGGGTAGTTAGTATTCATAGTAAATTTAATGTTCCTGGTAATATGGCATATGCCACATATGTGAGTTTTTACTTACATGATTTCTGTTTTCTCACACGAAGGAGATGGGACAAACTGTTTAAGGTCTTTTAAGGATTTGAGAGAGATTACATCATCACTGGAGTTGATGCAGTAACATCGTCCTTTCCTCATTACTGGGGTGCCTGTGAGAAAAAAAAAAGAGTACACGCCTTCTCTTCACTGTTTCAATAGAAGTGATTAACCAAAATGACACATTTGACTTAATCATGCCTTATACTATCCTTTTCTAAGTGTTTTTAAATCATCACCACAAGCTTTTAAAGTAGGCATTATATCCATTTTGTGGGTATAAAGTTTAGAAGTTAAGTAAAGAACAAAGATACACAGTTTTGATGGGGCAGGAATAGGGTTTCAGCTCAGGTCTGAATCCAAAGATATTTTTCTCAGCCATTCTCCCTTTCTTTTTTGGAGGAAAAAAAAGATTTTTACAATATTTAACAAATTCCCATTACACATTAGACACACTAGCACACAGTTTACATGTGCTACGTGGGCAAGTTTCTTAAGCAACTTCCAGATCCATTTTTACCTGATCTTGGTTGAATGGGATTCCTACAGATAGAAAGTTCTACTTAAAACAAATTACCAGTTCCATCTATCTCTCCTTCTAGATGCCTAGACTTTTCAATAGTATTTTAAATTATTGAAAAAAGTTTTTGAGACAAGGCCTTGCTATGTACTTTAGGCTGGCTTTGGGCTCACTATGCCTTGAACTTGCAGTAATCCTCCTGCCTCAGCCTCCTGGGTGTTGAGATTACAGATTATGTGCCACCACCTGGCTTTTAGAAATTCTTTAGAGTACATCATCTTCATATTTTTTACTTTCATTCAGTATATATTTCCTTATTATGCCACTTTTTTTGTTGTTGTTGTTCTGAGGATTGGACCCAGGGCCTCAAACTAAATTGTATTCCAAGTTTTTTTAAAAAATATTTTTAGTTTGAGACAGGGTCTTGCTAAGTTGCCTAGGCTGACCTCAAACTTGTGATCCTCTGTCTCAGCAACCCAAGCTTCTGAGAATATAAGCATGTACCACCTACCAGGCATATGAAGCACACAAACTACAAATTTTCTATATTACAGATAAGGAATCTGAGGTGTATAAAAGGAATTTGCCCAAGGTAACATAAATAGTTGTTGGATTAGGACAACCTCTCCTATTACTGGATTATCATTCAGTTAACCATAGACATATATATCAAGAAACAACACCAATGACAAAAATAATTTAGGAGACAGAGTTTTTCATTTCATTATCTGTGCCAGTGATGCTGATTTCACATCCTTTACTCTAAACCACCCATTTGTGTGAAATGAAAATGAAACATGCAGAAATTCCTTCTGAGAGAGAGCTTCCCATCATAAGTGTTCAAACTTCATCAAACATTTACTAGGAACACACACACCTAAACTTAGACTTTCGTTTGACTTGGCAGCCCCAAGTTCTGACCTTTGGATAGTTGACTACTTGTAAGTAACTGCTCTTTATGATTCAGTGTTATCTGGTTAATGAAGAGGTTTTCATATTGACGCACATGTCTAACTTCACTTACCTAGTATAACTCAAAACCCCTTACCTTGAACTTCAAATAGAACCAGGAAGATGATGCCCAAGAAGAAAGAAACACTATGTCCCTTCATTGTTGCAGAAGGAAGTTCTGCAAAGTCACTCCTATGTTGAATTTCAAGCCTGAGAAAATCTTCAGAGAACATGCTCCGGGGGATATTTATTTGGGAAATCTATTTCCCTCCTAAACCCTAATTGGGTGTTATCCTTGTCTGATGAAAGCAAAACTAACCACATGCTTGCTTTCCCTGGGGGAAACCCTACACTCAGATCCAAGGGAATTTCTGCATGTTTTTATTTCCATTTCATATAAATGAGTGTTTTATAGTAAGGGATGTGAAACCAATACACTGTCAGCCTTAACAAACACATAGCTGCTCACCTGGGTGAAGGACATGATGAAAACAGTATTGTGCAATAAAGGCCAGAAATGTGGCTTCCAGATGGAAAATATTAAAGTCCAGGCAAATAATTCCTTTATTATTTATAGCATACCTTTCTGTATAATAAATGGCTACATCGGTCTTATATTATCCACCCTACAATTTGAAGTACTTTAGTTTCTTCAGGAGTCAAACTATTTTCTGCTAGTAGTAAGTTCCTTTTTGTCACTGCTGCTACAGCTTATGTTTTATATTCTTAGATCAGTTAGCATAAGAGCTCAGCTTTGTGCAAGAGATTCAAATTAACAGAGGCTGAGATGGAAGCTTATTTTGCTCTAATAGAGATGGACAGACATTATGATTTGGCTCTAAAAAGGCCCCCAGAATACTAATGTACTGAGAGGTGGGACTTTTGAAGGTAACTGGATCATGAAAAGGGTCTAAATTCAACAGTGGGATAATCCACTGATGGATTCATAATCTGATGATATTCTTTGGAGGTAATGGAAGCTTAAAGGGGCTGGTTTAAGAGGGACACAGGAAAGCATGTCCCTGGGGGGCTATACCTTGTCTCTGGCCTCTTCCCACTTCTTAGCTGTCATGAGGTCAGCAGCTTTGCTCTGCCATGCCATTCCACTATAATGTTTCTGCCTCATCACAGGAACAAAAGTGATAGAGCCTAATGACCATGGACTGAAACCTCTAAAATCATAAGCCAAAGTAAGTGTTTCTTCCTGTAAGTTGTTTTTTTTTTTTTTTTTTCATTTTGTCATAGCAATGGAAAGCTAACAAAATGAACCAGCACTTGTATAGTAGCTCTTTCCCATAAGATAATCCAAGCTCCTTCTTATTGCTTATGCCCCATGTTAGGGCTGCTGCTCTCATGTATATGGTCAACAGTGACTTGATACCACATCCTTTTTCCAAGTATGGAATGGCAGAAAGGCACAAAAGTCACCTCATTCCTTTTTAGTTCCACCTTAGAAGTTGTACCCATCACTTTCCATTATCTGTCCTGTAACAGAACTTAGTCACACGATCGTATTCAGCTTCAGGGGAAGAGACGGTATCTCTACTCTGGTTTATTAGTTGAAGACTAGAGGTTCTATCATTGCATAACAGTGTTTATTGAATGGGTGACTGATCTGAGCAGTAGTCTACATCCCTCAGTGGGCCTATGACCTCTCCTGGCTCTGATTCTCCTCAATCCCCCTTGTTCTTCACTTTAGTGTTGTAGCAGCCACTTTTCCAAGCTTCAGAGGCACAATAAACTTATATTTGAAGGTAGTGGCATAAGAGGCAGATGGGCAAAATTGATACAGCTAAATAACTGAAACTGAGACAGGTAGGTTTGTTTAACTATCAATACTTGTTTTGTCATCTCCGAGGAACAGCAGAAAAAAGAACACAAATCAGGGGCTTTGTTATGGAAAAGAAAAAGTACTAAAATATCTTCAAGGAGTGAAAGTTGTTGTTTGTGGTTTTTTTTGACCGTCATATAACATACCAAGTAAAAATGGCACTAGTTCTAAATTTCCAAACAAGAAAAATATTTTTTCAGTATTAGGAATTAAATTCAAGGACACTTTACCACTGAGCTATATTCTCAGTCTTTTTTATTTAATTTTATCAGCACATATTTGCAGTACATAATGTTTACTTCCCATGTGTGGAGTTGGCACGTATATAACACGTCTCAATTCCTTTTTTAAAATTTCCTTTCCCTTTCCTGCCTCCCTCTCCTTTTATCTCTTGATCCCTTTCTTATCTGAGAAAGAGCAATCTCTCTATTTCTATCTTTAATTTTTCTCTTTATTTATGATTTAGGTTTCTCATATAAGAGAAATCATGTGAAATTTAAGCTTCTGTGTCTGATTTATTTCATTTAACATTATGTCTCAAGGTACATGCATTTTCCTACAAATGACTAATGAAGCAATGCTGAGAATCACTGGTCATTAGAGAAATGCAAATTAAAGCAACAGTATGATTTCATCTTGCCCCAGAAATAATGGGAATTGAGAAGTCAAATACAAATGCCAGTGAGGCTGTGTGGAAAATGGAGCCCTTCTACATTGTTGGTAGGAGTGAAAACTAGTATAATCATTATGGAGATTCCAGCAATTCCCTTTCTAGGTAGTTTTCTGAAAGAGCTATTTATTTATTTATTTATTTTTGGAATTGAACTCTGGGCCCCAAGCTTGCCAGGCAGGTACTGTGCTACTGAGCTATATCCCTGGCCCGCTGAAAGTTAAAGATGTCATATTACAGTAATCCTTACATACCTATGTTTATAGCAGTATGACTCATAATAGCTAAATCTTGGTAGCAGCCTATCAAGAGATGAATGGATAAAGAAAATGTGGTATTTACACACAGTGGAGTACTATTTTGCTACAAAGAAAGAATAATCTCTTTTCATTTTTGATCTTGAGACAGTCTTACTAAATTGCCCAAGTAGTCCTCAAACTTTCAATTCTGTTGCCTTCATTCTCCATGTAAATGAAATTACAAGCATGGACCATCAGGCTTATCTCAATATGCAACTTTTGAGTGAACTGGAAATAATTCCTAATTTAGGTCTTAAGAAACAGTGCTTAGGGCTGGGGATTTAGCTCAGCGGCATAAGCGCCTGCCTTGCAAGCACTCAGTCGTGAGTTTGATCCTTGGTACCGACAAAAAAAAAAACAAAAAACAATGCTTAGCTTCCACATGTGCCCCCTGCTATGCTGCCAAGATGCCCAAGAGGAAGGTCAGTTGGAAGGTACAGCAAAGGAGGAGCCCAAGAGGAGATCGGCAAGATTGTTGGCTAAACTGCTCCTGAAAAAGTGGAAATGAAGCCCAAAAAAAGGTAGCAGGAAAGGATATATCTTTGGACAAAAAAGTGCAAGTGAAAGGGAAAAGAGGAGCAAAGGGAAAAGGGGCTGACATAGCTAATCAAGAGACCAAAGAAGATTTACCTGCAGAAAATGGAGAAACGAAAAAGGAAGAGATTACAGCGTCTAATGAAGTAGAAGAGAAAGAAGCCAAGCCATGTCTTATCAGTGGTCCCTGTGTCCCTTCTCGTATAATCTGGAGGAATCTTTTTATCAACCATTTTTTAAATGCAAGTTTCTTAATAGCTCTAGAAATATTTTTTAAAAGGAAGGAATCCCACCCCATCACATGTTTTAAGTGTAAATGATTTTTTTAAGAGGTGAAATCATTTACTGGCTGTTCATTTTTTGGTACAACGAGAAAATAGTGGGATTATTGAGTTATGGCAGGCTTTACTGTCTTGGGTGTCAGCTTAACATTCCACAGGTGGTAGTTAGTTTTATATCCTGCAATACAAAGCATACTAAATGGCAATTTTAAGGACCTCATATTACAGTGACACATACCTATGTTTATAGCAACACAACTCATAATAGCTAAATGGAGAATTGCTGGGATCTCTATGCTGATTTCCCTAGTGACTGTACTAGTTTTCACTCCCACCAACAATGTAGAAGGGCTCCATTTTCCACACAGCCTCACTGGCATTTGTATTTGATTTCTCTATGGCCATTCTTTCTGAGGCAAGATGTTACTTTGGAATATGTCTTGGGTATTTTAAATGACTTTTATTGCCATTGTTGTTTTTAGAAGGATTGTTTCCTTAAGAAAACTACTTCCTACTATATTTTGGTCATGGTAGTTCAGTTTGCCTAATTTTGGTAATGTGCTGTGAAAGACCGAAAATTTGAGCATGTGGTATATATGACACGAAATTGTGAATCAGTGGGATATAAGCAACTCTATCAACATTTGAAGATTCTGGTACTTAATCCTCTTACTGAAAATCTGCCTCCAAATTTGACACTGGAAAGTCACTGGAATAACTGAAAAAGAAACAGTACATGGCTTTTTAGACTTTTTGTTATTGTGTGATAAGAGTTGTGTACAAAGTGAAATGTCTATACTGATCTTCAACACAATATAATATCAAATATGGAAGAAAAAAGAAACTGCTTTAAAATGCTACCTGAAATTTTATTTAAGAAAGAAACTTGATTTGAAAACATGACAAATGCATCAGTTTTATCTGGAAAATACTTCCTTTCCTGAGATTAATTTGAACAACTTATTATAATTGATAGAAATGACTTAGTATGATGAGGAAAATCCCCTTGATACTTTATGGAGGGCCCTTTGACTCAGTGATGATAGAAATTTAAAACCAGATCAAGAAGTATGAGGACACAGACAAAGCTTTAATTGAAAAAGAGCAGCTTTCAATGAGAAGAGAAAATGGGGAAAGCAGTTCCAAGGGAGAAGAAAAGTAAAAGGTGCACAACTCTGACAAAGTCAGACCAGCCTGTTCACAGAGCAAAGGGACAGGCTTTTATGGGGCTAAATTCTGGGTCAGGCTAAGCTCTGGTTGATGATTATCTTTGTTGTGGCTCTGGAGAAATCCTTTTCATTTAAAGGGGAATCTGGTTCCCATGGCATGATTACTCCTGCTTGGGTTCAGGGTGTCCTCCCTTCCTATCACAGAATAATTGCTCCCTCTTGAGTGATGGTTTACTGAAATCCCTTTTGAGGGTATCACACTAACCCTCTCGGAAATATGGCACATGGATGCAAGAGAGAGACAAAGAGAGAATGTTCTGCAGTTGATGGGCTCTAGGATGACTCAATGTTCTCTCTGGAACAAAAGGCCTCATCTCCAAAAGCCCATGGCTCTGATTGGTATCAATCAGGGAGGTGGGTGGGGGTCATGGCAGAGTGTGTAGGGAAAAGCAACTGTAGCCATACCAGGA